CTTTGAAAGAAATGTTCTATTTAAAGACAATCATGCTTAAATATCATGGTTTTCTAAAGACATTTACATGAAAATAAATGCATGAAGAACTAATTTTCCTCTTCCATACTTCTATCTGCAGTAATAATTCTCCCGTGTGACATCATAATCAACTGTCATATGATATATCACAGTTCAGTGTGACTAGAATTTTCTGGCTTGGACACACAAATAAGTAGCATGGCTTGAAAATGAGGCATAGCCATCATTTTGCTTCTGAAAACTGGATAGTTCTGATTTAGAAATAATTAAGAAATAAATGCTGTTAATAGATATACTGAAAATATGTAAATCTGAAAACATTTGTATAACGTAGTTTTGCTTTAAAAATAAGCAAACTGAAACATGTTTGAACTTGCATTAAAAAAACTTTTTTGTATTATTTTTTTCTTTTTCAAAAATTGCTTACTTTTTTTCTAGTGGCAACCTTAGTTTTGGGAAATGATGCCTTGTGACAGATTTCTTGAGTGGGTTATCTAGTCCAGAACTTGTGAAAATACAGGTACCTTATGAACCATGTTCATTTCTCCTTTGCACTGTTCTTTTTTCATTGCACTTAAAGGTATGGGCCTGAAGGCAGAATTTTCCTGCAAACTTTGGGTTCCCATAAAGTAGCCGTTGTGTAACTGCTACTCTTCTGTCCTGGCAAAATACATAACACTACACCCTACTGTGTGTTTCTTTGAAGAGAGCGGAAACTACAGACTCTGAGCACACAGAAAATGCTGTGTAGAATCAATTGAATGCAAATTAAATGTCTGATCTTCAGCTTTTGGCATATTATTCCTGCCTATACTCCTATTTTATCAAATTGCACTTCCCATTTTTTAAGATCAGTAGAGCTTGAGAGTCATGGTTTATAGAATTGTCATCTTGATAAATAGTAGAGATTAATGCTCTCATCCAAATTATGCATTCTTTTTAGGATGATAACATTACATAATAATAGGGGCAGATTTCCAAAGTCTTGATCAACAAAATGATCACAGAAAGACTTCTTAAATAATTCATTTCCATCTATCAAGGCTGACATGAGGCAGCGTTACCGAACAGCCTCCTTTTGACAGGATAGTCCAATAGTACAGTTCTTGTTCCTCTGCCAGTAGCAGAGCAATGAATATTTGTGGGCATGTATCCAGGTCCCCAGGAAACTTGGAATCATTCCATGTTAAAGAACTGTAACTGTGGCTAACAAACCAGCTGCTGTATTGAGCTCAGAAGGAAGTCTTTGTAGCTGTGTGGAAGGAACGTAAGTTATTTGCATAACATCCAGCAGCCTTAGTGGGAAGGATTGGCAGGAGCACAACAGCAGGGTAGGCATCCAGCTTTTCTTTTCTGACCATATCTGTCAGTGATTCCATTCCTAAATGCTAGGATGAAATGAAAAGAGAGAGAAGTGAAGAACTTGACCAAAAGGACTGTGCAGGTCTGAAGAGAAGGGTACTCATGATCATATTGACAGCATTCTTTGTGGAAGTAATAGTTTATTACATTCAGCAAACAAAATCGATTTATAATAAATAGTATCAACATCTATTGGGGGATGTTTGTGAGTTGCTCACTTCTTACTATGGAGAGAGAAAAATGTTAAAGAACAACAAATACAGGAGGATATAGTACTATCCATCAGCATAGGTCAGCTCTCAACCAAAACGCGCTGTTGTACTGACTTACAGGAATTTACAGGAGTGGTCATGTATACTAAAACCAGGCAGATTTTGTCAATTAGGCCAGCTTCAGATTTAAAAAAACATATTTGCTAGTATACCTTAAATATACTGCATCACATTGTCAAATATTAATATTGCCAATAAAATGTCAATCTACAGTTCTAAAACAGGCATTTCTTTGGTCTTCTGTCACACCAGCTTTACGCTGTAAAGAAAAATAATTCTCTCTTTAAATACTACCTTTTGCAATGTACCTTTGTTTTAAAATACTCAGGCCATACTTCATCAAGTATTTAAGCTAACACCACCACCAAAAAAAAAAAAAAAAAAGTCTTGCTTTCCTGTGGCCTTCAGGCTCTCTCCTGCCTTCCACAAATACAGCTGTTTGTGAGGCCAAATGGTAAATCACACTGTGGATTTGGATTGAAAATAAATGGGGTGGTAGTATGCATTTGTTACTTTTTCCTTCTGCTTGCCACCACCTCATCCCCAATTTAATTTCAACCTGGATTATGTTCCTGGTCCAATTCCTTTTGCACAAATGTTTATGACAGAAAAAGGGTTAACACGGGGAAAGAAAAGAATGGAATTTTTTGCAGGATAGCCTTTTCTGACCTTATATGTATTTTCCTATTTTGTAAGAGTTTATTTTTGATTTAAAAAAATGCATATACTAATGACTTCTATGAATGGTTTTTATGTAGGAAAAGGCAAGAAGTCTAGAAGATGTAATTCACCATAATTTCAAAGAAAATTGAATTAATGTTCAATAAGAAGTTAAGTATCTTTCCCAATATGTAAAATTGACCTTTCTGTGTTCTCACTATTTTATATTCCTGCAGAAACAGAAAAGATGATTCTGGAATAGTTTAGTTTTCCTTCAGAGTTTTTTTTTGGCAAATGTTTCTCACACTTCCACGATTGTATAAAGAACACTCTAAGAGATGATAAAAATGCTGTTAGCTGTTCATGTTAATGTGTATCCCACATACGTTTTCTTGTATTTCACCTTTGCAATATTACTTGTGCCGCAAAAATATTAAGCATATTGACATATCTGAGAGTAGCCCTGAGGAGAAGGACTTGGGGGTGTTATGCTGAGCTTCTTATCAACCGACCCGGCAATGTGCGCTTGCAGCCCAGAAGGCCAACCGTATCCTGGGCTGCATCAAAAGAAGTGTGACCTGCTTGAGCTGGTCCAGAAGAGGGCCATGAAAGATGATCAGGGGGCTGGGGCACCTCCCAGATGAGGACAGGCTGAGAGTTGGGGTTATTCAGCCTGGAGAAGAGAAGGCTCCAGGGAGCCCTTATTAGCAGCCTTCCAGTACCTGAAGGGGGCCTACAGGAAAGCTGGAGAGGGACCTTTTACAAGGGCACGTGGTGATAGGACAAGGGGTAATGGCTTTAAACTGAAAGAGGGTAGATTTGAATTAGGTATTAGGAAGAAATTCTTCACTATGAGGGTGATGAGGCACTGGAGCAGGTTGCCCAGAGAAGTTGTGGATGCCCCATCCCTGGAAGTGTTCAAGGCCAGGTTGGATGGGGCTTTGAGCAACCTGGTCTAGTGGAAGGTATACCTGCCCATGGCAGGGGCGTTGGAACTAGATGGTCTTTAAGGTGCCTTCCAACCCAAATCATTCTATGATTCTGTGACTGATATTTTCCTTTTTGTGTTGTATTTTCATAAGTCAATGTTTAAAAATCCTACAGGCTACATTTGAAACACTGTTTCTCTGAACACATCAGTTGTTTAGACAATCTTTTGGACTTCTGTAAGGAACCAAAACCTTTGTTTTAATTGACATCATTGGCCATCAAACAGGAGTTCTGAGGAATTTGTATGTAGTGAAAGTAAGCTGCTAGGTTATATTGTTACATGTTCCTAGTAACAATCACATAGAAACCATGTCAATCATGATGCTACTGTAACTCTAACTTGTATTTATTAACCCATTTCCATAGAAGAGTCCTAAAGTTTGCTGTATCAAACACAACTTTGTATTTATTTCTGACAAGCAGAAAAAATAATCTGTCAAGTTTTAATGTATATTATTCCTTTGCTCCCCTGCCTCACACTTTTTTTTTCTTGAGAATTTTTATGGCATTAAATGTAGGTGAAAAAACCACTTACCTTCTGAGCTCCTCTTACCACCTCATGTCTTCACTGAAATAAGGGGAGAATTCATATTCCGGGCTAATTTGACCTGACCTTTTTTTAAAACTCTGGTAAATGCATATTATGCTTATTTGCAGCATCTTCAAACATCATTATGTTGGCATTTTTGTTCAAGGAACTTTTCAGGAAGTACATAACATGCTGTCTTGTCTCTTATTTTAGTCTAGTTTTATGCAATGGGTTAAAGGATGGGCTCTGCCTGCAAATGAATCTTCACAGCATGAGTCATGGTCATTCTTAAGACCATTAAAGCCATTGAAGAATATTTTTATATCCTAACAATTCCAATTTTGTAAACAAAGTAACACTTACCAATGGGGCTAGTATCTTTTATTATTTGTGGAAGACAGCAAACCTGTTCTTTAGCACAGTAGCTAAGTTAACAGTCTAGGTTTACAACCAGAGGAATATAATGTAACAGAAACGACTATAACTGTTTTACACAGCTAAATAATAGTTTATACTCTAAATAAAGGAATGTAAGTAAATCTCCCTTTGGGGAGGGGGTGGGGGAGGGAATGAAATACATTTATTCACTGAATTAATTATAGTGGAGAGATTACTTACCTTTAATGTTCTTTTAAATGGGACAAAACACTTTTCTTTGTCTAAGGTCCTATCTGTTTCATATATTTTGCTTACATTTTCTACCAGTCTTGCCTCAGTAACTCCTGTGTGTATTAGCCAGTTTCAAGCAAACTTGAAAAAGGTAGCTTAGAGATGGCTATGTTCTTTCATGTTATGTAAAAAAACCCAGCGATTAGACATAGAATAGGCATCTAACTTGCTGTCAGCATTGAAGGAAACGCAGAGAGAATTGTATGTGGCTATTCTGCTTGGCAGAACCTGGTCTGCTATTCAGTGTGCATGTACTGGTTAACCCATGAGAGAGATGCAGGTTCAAACTGCTTGCATCCAGTGGGCATCATACAGGAAACTGGGATTATTGCATTTGTTGGGTTTGAAGGAGGCAGAGGATAGAAAACTGTACAAAGCAAGTCTCATTAGTTCCAGTTTCAGGGAGTGTTGTGTATATACAAGCAACATTGGAAGCTTACCGTTATTGACGATAAACATTTTAACACACTTTCTCTTTTTTTTTTTTTAATGAACAGATAAAAGAAATTTGTCTGGATTAATACTGAACTGAATGCATCTGAACTGAAGGAAATGTTTTAAGATTGCTCTCCTGACAGAAGTTGTACAAAAATGGTACACTGAGGTTTCTGCTTGCACTTCTGGGAAGACTGTAACTGTATTTTTATATTGCAGTTTATTGGCCCATAAAAGACAATGTAATAACAAAAGTAACAGTAAATTCACGCAATAGTAGAGGTTCCCCTCCCACTGACTGGACATGAGTGATCAAAGGTCTTTGCAAGACGATAAGCACAAAGTTAGCAGAACTTCCTCAAAGTTCAGGGAGTCTTCAAGAAGCATGCAGTCTGATGATTATTTTGCTAGAAAACTTAAAGCTTTGAATGGTAGCATGGGTCCTCCCGTTTCTTCAAATGCATCTAGCAAAACTGAAAATAATCAAACAAATGGTACACCAGCTGTGCCTAAAATGGGTGTTCGAGCAAGGGTATCTGAATGGCCTCCTAAAAAGGATTGCTCTAAAGAGCTGAGTAAAGCTGCTTGGGAAAACAGACCTCCAACCAGTTACGAAAGTGTTGGCTCAGTACTTCCAAATGGACAAAATGACCAAAGCGATGGACAGCAAGAAGAGCTAGAATTGGAATTTACAGAGGGAAAATACTCAATTGGAGATCTTTTTGTTCATTCCCCTCAAAGGGGACTTCATCCCATAAGGCAAAGAAGCAACAGTGATGTGACAATAAGTGATATTGATGCTGAAGATGTGTTAGACCAGAATGCTGTCAACCCAAATACTGGAGCAGCTCTTCACAGAGAATATGGCAGTACCTCTTCAATTGATAGACAAGGCTTGTCTGGAGAAAATTTTTTTGCAATGCTAAGAGGATACCGAGTGGAAAATTTTGAACATAAACCCCTTGCTCCGTTTGGATTTTCTGAGTTTTTCCACTGTGATCCTACAGTTTCTCCAAGTCTACATGCTGCTGCGCAGATTTCCAGGGGAGAATTTGTCAGGATCGCTGGCTTGGATTATATGGATAGTGCCCTACTTATTGGTCGAGACAGGGAGAAATCTTTCAAGAGGAGACTAAAATCAGAAGCAGTAGAAACATCTCTATTTAGAAAATTGCGAACAGTTAAAAGTGAGCATGAAACTTTTAAGTTTTCGCCTGATCTGGATGACAGACTTGACAGAAATGTTCGTTCTTGGAACTATCAGAAATGTTTTGCACATTATGATGTTCAGAGCGTTTTGTTTAACATAAATGAAGCAATGGCTACCAGAGTAAATGTAGGAAAAAGAAAAAATATAACCACTGGGGCTTCAGCTGCGTCACAAACTCAGATGCCAGCAGGCCAAACAGGAAACTGTGAATCTCCTTTGGGAAGCAAAGAGGACCTCAATTCAAAAGAGAATTTAGATGCTGATGAGGGTGATGGGAAAAGCAATGATTTAGTATTGAGTTGCCCTTACTTCAGGAATGAAACTGGTGGGGAAGGAGATAGACGGATTGCACTTTCTAGGGCAAATTCAGCATCTTTTTCTTCAGGTGAAAGTTGTTCTTTTGAGTCCTCTCTGAGTTCCCATTGCACAAATGCTGGTGTTTCAGTACTGGAAGTACCAAGAGAAAACCAGTCCATTCACAGAGAGAAAGTGAAACGTTACATCATAGAACACATTGATCTTGGAGCATATTATTACCGCAAGTTCTTCTATGGAAAAGGTAAATTTTTCTAATGCAACTGTTCTGAGATATTCATGCATTAGATTTAAGTTACTTAGTAAAGATTTTTTTTTTTCCCCTTCTTCTTCTCTATAGAAAGACATAAGTATTACAGGGGATCCTGAAACTGTTTACTAAAATTAAGCCTGTTATTCTTGCTCTCCCAGAGGGATATTTAACAACAAGTGGTTTATGTATAAAGTTATGCAATACTTATGTAAGTTCACTAAGTGTGGGGTCATTTAAATTAGTACGTAAACTAACTTCTCTGAACCAAACTTTCTTGGTGGGCAGGAGGAAAAGAAGATATTTATACCCAGTAAATGCATTGGAAATACTGATACCAGAGTGGAAATCATCATTTCCCAAAAGGTGCCTCCAAAAGAGAAGGTTTTATTATTGAGGCTTCTGACTCCCTTCTTCTAGATTCTGCTGTCTTCAGGTGTCTCTTGGGGCCTTTCATACTGTATGCGCATATACATACTCCTGAAACAGAGAGCTTCTGATGACATTTAGTTTTACAGCTTAAAGAAGGTTGTTTTATGCCTGTCTTCTAGACTTTTACCCTATTCTTCTAGGATATGTTCACACTGCAAAGTGCCAGGGTACTCTTCGCAGCAAAGTAATTATCTTGGCTTGAATCATTATTCAGATAAACTATTTCCACTTTGTGATCTACTTTGGCTGTCTGTATTCAGTACTGCATTGTGCAATGTGTGTGAAATCTCTGTTTTTGCAGGGAGAACCCCAAAATACCTGTCTCTGTCCTTTCTGTATTATGAATTACAGCTCAGTCTTTTTGCTGTTATGAATAGAAAAAAAATCTGCTTCTGTCCTTAAAAGACTGTTACTGCCTGAGTCTTCCTGAAATCATACTTCCTCTGCTTTCTAACTATATTTGAACAGCAGGAAATAAGCACTGTACTGTACTCCTTCCTCTGTGACCCTTTACAACGGACTCGAAAGAGGATCCGGTACAGTGCCTGCTTTCACAATACGGTAGACACCTAGAACTTATTGGATGTAAAAACACTGTATTTAAAAGGCAAGGAAGAAAAGAATCTGGATCTGTCATGGAAGAGGAAGAAAAAGATGCAGAGCTAAGCAAAGAAGAGGCAGTAAATTCAGAGGTTCAAAATGGCTTTTAAGCTAGGCAGGTTGTAAAGGATCAAAAAGTGTTGAGGGAGTCAGAGTGGAAGAGAATGAAAGGAAATTTGTAACAAAAGGGTGGTATGTTTTTTGAGGGACAGAGAAGAAAAGATTGGCGTAGACGGAAATGAAAGGAAGATTGTCAATGGACAAAGGTGGTGGCAGGATAGGGGAAAAAAAAAAAACCACAAGGATTAAGCCAAATGAGAGGACTTGTTTGTGAAATGCTTTTATCATGGATGAATTACAGGTTCTGGAGGGCTGAACATTTTTTGTGAAGAAAAATCTTGTCCAATTAAAAAAAGAAAACACAAAGAGAACTCAATACCACTTTAAATAATATACTATAAACAAACCTAAAGACCTTTCTGGAAAGTTGATGCGAATGTAATTAGTTTTCATTAACTTCTGTTCTGGTATTATGTATATACAATCTGTGACTAAAAGTAAAGTATGTTTATATTAATACAGTATTAAAAAGTTAAGAAATAGTATCTGAGAGTTTTATCCCACATGGTATAATACTAGGAAACTTGAATTGTTGTTGTCCTTGTAACTAATTGTTCTGTAGGTAGAGTTCTTCAAAAGTAAGTGTGATGTGATGCATTTAATATCCAGTAATAAATTGTTACCCTCTCACCTTTACAATGATATATAAGCCATGCCCTGTTCCACATTATCTTTCTATAGAGCTGTAGCAGAAGCTACATGAGAGAAATCTGTATTGGATGGCTCTTATGAGACAGATAGCAAGTCAAGGCAAACATGTTGATGGAACTAAAAACTTAGTTTTCAATACCTATAATCTCAAGGGATCAAGCATGTAAGGAATCTCCAGATTACTTCCAGCTGAACAGAGTTCTCACCTAAACAAAGTTTGTTGTGGATAGAGGAAATAAAACAGGCGTTTTGCCTTGGGCACCAAAATGTCTTGCTGCTGTCCTGATCTCCCACGTAAGAAAAAGTGACGTTTATATGCATACTGGGTCTTACTTGATGCTCTTCCATGACAGTGAGCTCTCCTAGCTGATTGTTCATTAAATTGTAGATTTAATAGCACAGTTGAATTTAGCAAAATAATTGTGGAAGGATGAAATAAAAATTTAGCAAACAATACTAACTTGTATATAGAGACATATGCAATGCCACTGATTTTCTTTGCCTTTAACAAGATATCTATGAAAAAGAAATAACTTTTGGAATATTTGATTTAGTTCACAGTTTTATAATTGGCACTTGTCAGCATACAAGTTTTAGTTCTGTTTTAAGATGCATGGAAGAAACACCCTGGCATGTGTAGCACTAATTATTCCATTCCCTTTCAAGAAATGAGAGATTTGGAATTCAGTGTCTTCTGAAATGAGCTGTAGTTTTATACTGCATATTTATAAGCTTTGTAACTATTGTTAAAATCAAATCCAACACGACTGATGTAAAATATGTTAATGTTTATGGAAAATATCTTCTCAGTTTTCAGTTAAGGTTTGCAAAAGCTAGAATACTTTATTTTATCTCATGGTTTTGATTTATTAATGGTGTCCTTTAGTGAACTATATTTTTGTGGGATAAAAAGGGATGACAAGGGAAAAAAGCTATGTTGATTTTTTAAAAGGATAATTGAAATACGCTTTTATTATCATTGATTTGTCCTTTTCCCCTTGTGCAATTATCCTCATAATACCTTGAGATTTGCCTATTACTACCATGCTTTTTATTTGAGGGATGCTTGCAACCATTTCTTAAAGTGTTATTGTATCTATCTGCTGATAACAAACGGAAAAAATGTCCTAGAGGAAATGTACAGGCTTAGCAAGCTTTTCGTATTAACTCAGTTTCATGTAAGTAAGGCTTTTGTATTAGAAAAGTTGACAATTATTCCTCAAAATGAAAAAGTAAAAAATGAGGAATATTTTGCCATCTCTCTTTAAACAGCTAGAAAATAGCACTTATTTTCTTCTCTTCTCTCCAGTCGATACTTTTAAATCAACGTAAATACATTTAAATGAGCCTAATGAGGTTGTACTTTATGAGATTTGGGAAAAAAAAAAAGCACCTTGAATTAAAAATGTTTTCCCCAAATCCCAGAATATCAGTAGCCATGCTATTTAATTTACTTCAGCTTCTTTAATTCCCATTCTTGAAACGGTTTTATCTATTTTATTTTTAATGTACATAAATAATGTCTTTGGTTTTGTGTCATTCATATTGTACAAGAAATAAGCAGATATCTGCCAAGCTTGCATTTTTCTGCTCAGTAATACTGCAGCCAAGAAATCTAGTAACTGTGGAATACCCTTTTCTAGATTTACATCAAAGTGGAAGGCTATAGAAACCCTACCTTTTGTCAAAGCCTGAATATGCAGCTGTGGGGAGTTTTTATGTTGTTGAAAGTGTTTGACCTCTGAAAATCTCTTCCCCCCCCCGGTCTGTAAAATCCTGTTCCATTAGGTAAATTTGCACATTAAGGCCCAAAGTTTTAATTTAGCACTGGGAAGTCCCTGAGGTATAATTTATCCATGCAGGTAGAATGCTCAGGCTGGGGAATGTGGTTGGTGAGCATGAGCGAATAATTTAATTTTTGTGCCCCTTTGATCCCAAGTGTTCCTTCCAAAAAAGGGATGCTAGTTGTAATGTGCTGCTACTCATTTTCTCTCCACTGGGAGATGGACTGTAACCACCATCTTTATAGACAGATTTTTGAAAGGCTACCGGAAACTTAATTTAAACTTGATTTGACAAATAAGACTGTCATTTATGTAGAGATAACGATCTTTTTGTATCCATTCTGAGAGTATGGATGACTTCTCAAAGACATTTTGCAAAAACTTCCTTACACATTTCTACAAATACATTGTAACAACAACAACAAAATCAAACTAGCTCCAAAATGCTAGCAAAGTGTTTTTTAATTCAGACAATCTTAAAAGGATAAATTAATCAATTACTTCATTGCTATTTAAAATATGGAATTATAGCATAAACAGGATTGGAAGACGTTTCTGGAGGTCATCCAGTCTAATTGCCTGTTTGAAGCTGCCTTTAAAGGTAGGTTCTGAATAGGTTGCTCAGAACCTATTCCCCTTTGGTTGTCCCTTTAGCCTTTGACCATCTCTAAGGATGGAGATTTCACAAACTCTCCTGGCAACCTTTTCCTGTGTTTGATTCCCCTCAATGAATCTTGTGATGCATCTTGCTGCATCTTGTGATGGTTGCATCTTGTCCTTTCTCTCTGTACCTCAGAGAAGAGTCTGGCTCTCCCTTCTCTATAACCCCCCATCAGCTAGTGGGATCCTGCAGTTATTTCCCCCCTTAACCTGCTATTCTCCAGGCTGCACAAGCCCATCTCCTTCAGCCTCTCCTCATGTGTTATATGCTCCAGCCCCCTTATTGTCTTGGAAGTTGTCTGCTGGCCTTGTCCCACCCTGTCCAAAACCGGACACTATTCCTTATGTGGCTTCAAAAGTGCCAAATAGAAAGGAATAGTCTCTTCTTTCGATGTGCTGGTATGCTCTTGCTAGTGCAGCCCAGAGTGCAGTTAGCCTTCATCTCTGCAGGGGGGGTCTGCTGGCTGCTGTGCAGCCTGTTGGTCACCAGGGTCCCCAGTCCTTTTCTACAGAGCTGCTCCTGAAGCAGTCGGTCCCCAGCCTGTGCTGTTGGATGAGCTTGCTGTGTTCCAGATACAGGTCTATGTTGGTCTTCATAAGGTTTTTGTCAGTCCATTTTCTCAGATTGTCAAAGGGAGAGTTTGTTTTAACATGTCAGGTTGAAAACTTCAGTGGTTTAGGAGTTACTTGACATGCAGCTCAGCTGTCCCATCTCAGCAGCAGCTGCCTCCAAGGGAAGGGGAGAGTGGGCAGTGAAGTACAGACACCCTACAGCTATAGAACTCTACCTGTGTGGATGAGTTACCCTCCTTTGCCCGCTTTTGTAAAATACTGCAAGGTTTATGCATTTCAGTATCTGCCCTATGCACATATTACTCATTTGTTAAAAGCCTGCGGGTTATTCCCCCTTCTCTTCTGCACCCAACTACAGCCCTAACCTCCAATACATGAACTGTTCTCCTTGAGCTTGGTCATGTACATGAACTTGTTGAAGATGCATTCCATTCCATCATTTGGATAGTTTTAAAAAAAATTTAAACAGTAACAGCTCTACTATCAACTTTTGATAAAGCTTTTAGTAACTGGCCACTAATTTGGAATTCATATTACTGATGACAGACCTTTGAGGCCAGCTGTCCATCCAGTTTACATCCATCTTGTAATCTGCATGTCCAAACCATGTCTTTTCAGTTTAGCTACACAGATACTACAGGAGACTGCGTAAAAAGCATTGCTAAAGTACAAGTACGTGACATTCATTGCTCCTTCCTCATCCACAAAGCCAGTCATCTCACTATAGAAAGCAACTTGGTTGGTCATGCATGATTTGCATTTGATAAATCTATGCAGGCTGTTTCCAAGCATCTTTTTGTCCTTCATGTGCCTGGAAATGTCTTCCATGAGAATTTGTTCCTTAATCTTCCTGGGAACTAAGGTTTATGGTGACTAGTCTATAGCTTCCCAGACCCTCTTTCTTGCGCTTTTTAAAGGTGGGTGTAACCACTTACTGTTACCTTTCAAAGGTGATAAAGAGTGGCCTTACAGTGACACTGGCTAGTTCCCTCAAGATGTATCCTGTTTGGTCCCATGGACTTGAGTGTGTCTAGTCTGCTTAAATGGTCTCTAACTTGATCTTCCTCTTCTGTTGGTAGTGCTTTACTCTCCCAGACTGGGCCAGTTGGCTTAAAGATGAACTTAACTATTCATCAAAGACTGAAGAGTTACTAGCCTCAGTTTTCACTTGTTAAAACAGAGTTGCTGCTTTGAACGTAAAGCTTTAAATAAGAATAAATTGAATGAAATGAAGAAAGCTACATAGCACCTTATTTGTTTGAAGACACTTAGCTTTTGTTGAAGACTTTATGTAGATATAGTTTCTCCAAAGTAGTTTCTTACAGCGTCAAGCAAAATGATTAATTTCATAGTACCAAAAATGCAAAAAATTATTATTTCATAGTAGCAGCAGTTGCAGTAATTTGATTATGTGATATGAGTGACCATTCTGCTCATCAAAACTAGCTTTTTGTGATTTATGTACTTATTGTGCAGTTCAGAAGATCACAAGCCAGTGTATTTACAGATCTCGTAGCTCAATTAAAAATAATATTTTTTTTTCTTGCTGCAGAAATTTTTAATGAGATTTGATGAACATTTTCTAGGAGACTCATACTTCATTATTCTCTTCTCTCTTCATTCACTCTTGTGCAAAAGAGCATCAGAACTACTTTGGAATAGATGAAAATCTTGGACCTGTAGCAGTCAGCATCCGGAGGGAGAAGGTTGAAGATGCCAAGGAGAAAGAAGGGTCTCAGTTCAACTATCGTATAGTTTTCAGGACAAGTGAGGTAATGTTCTTTCAGTAATTCTGCAAAGGAATGGAAACGTTAAGTTTAGGATACTAGTTGTTTGTCTGTGGATACGTTGCTAACTCTGAAAGTAAATCTGTTAATGGGAAAGGGGTGTTTCTTGTAGCATTAGTAAATGTAGTTGCTCCTGGAGCAAAGTTTTGCTCTTCTGTACTGCATAAAATGTTTCTTTTTTTTGACTGGGCACCCAAAAGGAGGTAAGTTGGCTGAAGGGAACTGCAAGGGGCAAGCAAGGGAACGGATGACAAAAACAAGGCTGAAGATAAGTTTGGATCAAGCTGCTTGATGTTAAGTTTCTAATGATAGAAATAAAAGATTAAGAAATGAATAGGGAAAAAGGGAGGGGAAAAATATGAAAGCTAGTACTATGACTTATTTGTATTTTTGTGTTTTGTTTCAAAATGCTTTCTTAGAAGCTTTTTTCTGTGAGATGTTTTTATATACTTGCATCATTTGTGGAAGGAATATTAATAAGTTGATGAAAATAGTTGTCTTATTTGGAAGAATAGCTCGTGATCGTTGTGGAAGGACACGTCTTCTAGCTTCTATTTCAAGCGAATTAGTATCTCTTGCAGACTAATTTCTTCTTTATCACAGCAACTAGCTTTGATTTGTATGAAAATACACAATGTTATTATTGTAGCCAGCAACTATAAATCTTCAAAATCCTTAGGACTATTGCTTTTTATTGTGATTATGACATAGAGAAGTGTCAGCTAGACCACCTGATATATCTGGGCTCATGTGCTTTAACAAACAGATACAGAAACAGATATATATATATAAAAATTATTTTTTTTTTTTTAGGCTAGGTTTTTCTTGTATTGCCAAAAAAGGGGTGTGTCTGTATGTATGTGTGGAGAGGTGATTCAGCTGACTCACTTCTAACAAATTGCTCTCTTTTTGCCAAATCCAATGAAGATAAAGCAGTATAGTTTAAAAAATAGGTAGATGGGTTAAATGAAGGTGCCGTTAGCTATGGTTTACCTCACCTGTCCAACCTCACATTCAACTGCTGTGTCTGCTAGGGTAGTATGGCATTAAAATTAACAATTTTTAGTTATTCTGGTGTTTTAATTTTTTTTTTTTCAAAAAAAAGTAATAGTCTTAGGAATTAGAATAAGTTAATAAGATCACCAGTGAATTTCTTTAAACAAAAAATATATTTGTCACTGAGACAATAAAACCCTGTCTCCTCTTAAAAAGTTATTTAGTAATCTTTTTACTGGTTAAAAAAATTAAAAATAGGGATCTTTTTCTTCCCATTCTTTCTTCCATGCTTTTGCTAAAACCTGAAGTTTAGATCTTTAAAAGTCATTGTAGTATTAGAAATAAAAATGTTTTGTGTGTTTTACCTTTACTGCAGCTTACTACACTTAGAGGAGCAATTTTAGAAGATGCTATACCATCCACTGCTCGGCATGGCACAGCAAGAGGTCTGCCTCTTAAAGAGGTGCTAGAGTATGTAATACCAGAGCTGAGCATTCAGTGCCTGAGGCAGGCTTCCAACTCACCCAAAGTACCTGAACAGCTGCTTAAACTGGATGAACAAGGGGTATGTAGCACATGATTTTTCTTTAAAGACTATTCTTTTTTTTTTTTTTTAATTATAAATATTAAAAAAATTAAATATTTTGCAGGAAATTTTAATAAACATGGATCTGTAATGCAAACCATTCACTTGGTTTTGGAGATACTTGTGTATTTTCATTGACAAAATGAGGTTTGCTTTTCTAAGCAAATTATTTTTAAAACACATTGCAGCTTAGGAAAAAAATCATTGGTCTATGGAGATTCTCTTTGGATGAGTGAGTGAGAGAAAGATTATAACGAAACTTTTAACGTTGGTAAGAAGTGACTTTCACAATCTGTATTTGCACTTTAATGTGTACAAATGCTGAATGCAAGTGAAAATACATCTAACACTTTATTAATATTATGTATAGGTAAGGAGGCAAAAGGATATAATGTATTAAGTCTCTACATCTAAAACTTTGTGGAGTTTTTTTACAATAACATTTTCTGATTAACTTGCAGTAGTCTTACTAGAACAGAATGTTTCTGGGTTCAAACAACTGAAATTGTGATTGAGACTAATGAATTGACTGCGTGGCAATGAAATATTCATACGGCTTAAATTTGGAGAAAAAATGGTGAGGCTTATTGGGTTCAATAAAGTGAATCTGCTTCATTCAAAGCTAGTGATTAAATTTATAGCTTCTGAACATTTTGTGAAGGACAGGCTTGTGATGGCTTTTAAATCAATTTTTAAAACCATGTTTTTAAAAAATGTTCATTTAAAGTGAAGATTGCACTTTCTAGGCCAAAGTCAGTATCTATCTGTTGAAGTTGAATCAGCTGATGGATCCAGTTGTTTATGATGGTGGTATAATTAATTTTTTAATGCTAATTCAGTTTTGAATGTAGTGATTGCGTCTAACATTGGTGGTGTCTACCAGAATTCTTCTGTCTTCTCTTGTGGCTGTAACAATTGCTCAAAACTAAGTAAAGGTAGACAGAGGAAGAGAATTGCTTTTTGGGGTGGATTGTTAAGCTAGTTTTGTATGTATATTTTACTACTTTTGTTCACTTTAGTCTTTGAGGAGGACTTTTAATTGAAAATTCATTTTGCCAAATGTCCTTATTTTTTCCCGTGTTTGTCAGTTCTTCTGGTAAAACAATAAAGGGAAATCAGAAGCACTCAGTTCTGAATCTAAGAGTTCCTGATGTACTGTTGCTCTCTGTCTTTCCTGTTTGAGCTCCAGAGTGAGTTTAGGTTAATCTAATAAATAATATTCACTGCTCAGAGAGGCAGTATGTTCTAGGCAGTCTGGAGTACTTCTTTATTTGACCTGACCTGAGTATTTCCCAAACTCACTATAAGTATTTCCCAAAAATTGGAAATGGAGATTGTGCATTGAACTGACCAAAGTAATTCTTTAGTCATCAACTCCTAATTTTGAGAAACAGCAGTACATAGCACTCCTTTTTATTTTGGGTGATCAATCCTGAAAATTCAATCCTGTTGTGAAATGGGCTATCACCAGGCAAAATATAATATTAATGTATCCTATGTGCTGCTTATTATGAGATAATTACTTGAACATAGACAGAAAGCTGTGCATAGAACTGGCATGAGATCCACTTATGCTTTTAATCCTCTTATGTACTTGATGCTTTCAGTTCATTAATTAAGCAAATATAAAAAGAGTTATGCTTGGAACTGAAGGTGATGACTGGCTGAAGTGTCATGAATTTAAAAATATGAATCATGATCTAGAGGATTAATACTGTCACCAGAATAATATTCACTTTGCGTAACGGTGTATTAAATGTTTGCATAGTTCCTCAGCAGATTGAACACTGTTTCGGTGTTTTGATTTAATTTTCTACCTGTTTCATAGTATTCAGTGAAATCTAGTATGGATTATGGAGGAAACGTGGCTAAAACTTTGTCTCTAAAATGACAGTAGAAAGTAGATGCAAATTGGATGGTTGACCTAATTTGAATATATAAATAAAGAATCTGCATTTTCCCAATTTATTCTGGCATATGATGATCAGCATTAGATTTGGCTGTAAATTTACAAGAAAAATCAACCATTTATCTATAACCTGGATAGGATTTTTTTTTTTTTTAACGTCTCTCTAATTCCCCCTCTAGTTCCCCCTCCCCATTTCTGCTAATGGTTTGTTTATTGTATATATGCTTTTTGGTTCCACTCACATCCCTCTGGGAATGTTCACTTCTCTCTAGGCCAAAGACTGAAGTTTACAAAAAGCCCAAAGAAAGTAGGAGCTTTGATTGCAGTGATATTTAGTGGCTATTGAGTGTCTAATCTCTTGAGGTTCTTTGCCAGAAAAACTCTAAAATCTTCACATGATGAAAGTCCACAAGTTGTTGTTGCACGATAAAGAATCTATACTGTACAAGAAGATGACAAGATGCCAAGGTTCCGTAGTGAGTGGTTCTGACTAGAACATAGTCATTTTGAGTTAGGAAGGACTGTGCCTTTAATACATACCATATACCCAAGTAGCTAAATGGGTTTAGAAATTATTTTCTGATGTCACATTATTAAATTGTTCTCAGTGTTAAATTAAATGTAAAATTTCTAATTTAGAAATCATGAGATCAGAACCATGTCTGCAATGATTTACTTAAAAAGACTTGAATAAGCATGCGGTATCATTTCAAAACTGGCAAACTTCATCAGTTTTAAATATTCTGATAGTTTTTCATGCCAGTTAAATGCACCACATAAGAAGATTCTGCCAAAGCTCATTTAGTTACTTCTTTCTTAGGCATTGACTTTGTAAAGGTACCTCGATTTCTGCTTCCGCACAGTCCGCGTGATCTTGGCATTAGAGTTCTTTTGCTTAAGTCTTTTAATTTTGTAGTCATGAGTGCTCCTAGCACATGGGTAGGAGGTTCAGATCACTTCAAATGATCTTGCAGCTGCTGCCTTGTTTAGGAACAGTGGTATTGGCAGAATCAAATTTGTACATAATTGCCTAGTGTTTACAGTACTTGTCCATGAAGTGAAAACCCAGGATTAATTCCTTCCTTGGGTTGGGGAGTTTCAGATCCTCATCTTCAATGTCTCTTAGGACAATGTTTAAACCATGAGATGGTAGGTTGTTTTGGAAGATAGAGGTATACTTCACTCCTGACTAGAATTATATTGATATTCATGAACAAATTCAGGAATGACTGGTCTCCTCAGAAAGAATGAATGAGCGTGACTGCATATTTCTAGACTGAATATTTTGCCCAGATGCTTCTTTACTGTTATTTATTACCCCTATTGTTGGTGGCTCAGTTAACATTTAACTTCTCCACTCGTCAATTCTAGTGTGAAGTCAAGGAAATTAAACCACAGGGAATTTAAGTTAAGCTAAACCATTTGACACAGAGCTGGGATAGAGGTGGCAGTGTGCTCACAATCATTTTAAGTCTCTGCTGGGAAGTATCAAGTAACAGCACTGCTTCCCGTAATCTAATGTTTATATGACCACTTCTCTTCCAGTTTCCTCTATGAAATGTTCATGCTAGCTTTCCACTGAATAAAATAGTCACCAGTGTGCAGTCTGGAACCTTTTGTTAAATACCTAACTCTCTCAAGGCAGTGCTTCAAAATGGGGATCAAACAAGGAAGCACTCTGGATGGATAGCATCTAATGCCAGTCAAAAGGAAATGACAAGAGCAAGCTGGTATCTTAACCCTGCCCTTCTCCATAGCTCGGTGGTCTGACTCAGGCAGCTCCTACAGTGTATCCATAACTCAGAATCTCCTTTTATTTCAGATGGTCACCCCTCCCATTCCACATCAAACTTTGGCACAGCTCCTAGTTCTTCTGTGTTCTGTGCTGCCCAGGTGAAACCTTATTGCAGCACCATTCCTCATTCCTGTCCTTACTAAGTGTGTTCTTTGTTCCTAACTGGCTCCCTGGGCAGTGGCCTCCTGCCAGCATATGTTCCACAAGGGCTCACCCCTGCGTAAAGCAGTTATCAAAGTGAGAGGATGGATTGGAGCTCACCGGAGAGGCGGGAGGGCTGCCATCATACATTACTCTTATTCCTAAAAAAAACTGTGCTGTAGGTTTTCTACACCAGTAGACCAAATTCTGTAGTGTGCATTGCTGTGAATATAGATCTGCTGAAATCACAGAGTTAGGCCTGTTTGTACTAGTTAAAATGAGAAGAAATTGCCCCACGGATAGGCTTAGCTTCATAGTAAGAAAAGAACTCCAGGCCCAATTGATGTTATGAAGTGTTTTGCTATTGACTTTTAATAGTCTAGCATTTCCCTGTTACTTCATTTTAATATGTTAAATGAAGTATTTAATACTTCGTTTAATACCTTTTGGGCATGAGATTCTTAGTGTCAATGATTCTATCTATGACCTTCAAAAACCTTCATTAACTTGGACATCTTGGGGTTTTTTTGTGTGTTGGTTGTGCATGAAGGTAAATAGTTAAACCAAGAATGCTGTCAAATTGAATCTTGAATTGCATGGGAGACAAAGAATACTAGCTTAAAAAAGCAGTAGCATCATGAAAGCACAGAAGACTAGGTTAGTAAAAGCATAGTGAAAACTTTTATTTCTCCAGGGGTGATGAGGATTTGGGTAGTAGTTTTCTTTTTTTTGTTTGTTTGCTTTGTTTTTTTTTTTAATTGACTGTTGGCAACTGCCTTATATACAACTCTCCACTTACAATGGAGAAATGCAGCATTTATTGAAGAGGGAAGGTTAAGGATTTTTTGAAGTCTGGAATGATATTTTTGACACTTCCTTTGATGTATGTATGTTTTCTTGACTTGACCTTTTAGTATTCTAAACTTGTAGCTTTTCCTCAAAATTGCTGTGGTAAAACATTGGTGCAGTAGCATGTCTATGGATTTAAGTTTTGCAATATACTTAACATGGCAGACTATGTGTTATGTATCACTAAGGTGAAGCAGACTGTTCTTGTCACCTTTGCTCTAATAGGAATATATACAGTCTTTGCCTAACACACATTTTAGACACTAATCCTGAAGTTTGATTAAGAGAATGCTGTACAGCTGGAGAGTTGATTTAAGTCGTGAATATAGATAAATGTCATAAGGGAATCTGGTGTGACTGATGGTCTCTGTCAGTTTGCAAAGCTCTAAAAGTTGTCAGTTAAGAATAATAGGACTAATCCGTTCACATGGAGGTTTCCTGTTTGTCATCTTAAGTATGCATAAAAGCTAAGGAAACAAGACAATACTCTGCTCAAGAAGTAATCATCCTTTTTTATACTTAACTTTTTATAGTTTTTATACTTTTTTTTATAGAAGTAATTTCTCTCTTTTTAATGTTCTAGAATTGAGACTCTAGTTTGTTTAACAAAACTATTCAACTGCAATCTGATTTCTAGCTTGAAGTATACTTTTGAAAATGGGGAATAATTTTTAACAATGGACGATTTTATGGGGAGGGCAAAAGATTACATATAACAGAAATTACTGTTCTGAGTGCCTGTTTTAACTCAACCGCACTGAACTTTAAAGGGTGGAAATAAGGGAAAATAAGCCCTCCTTGTTTTGAATCTGAGAGAGAAGACAGTTATACAAAAATTGCCATTTAAAGTTCTCATACTATAACATGCAGTAGAGTGTGCTTTTATAGATAACTGACTAAGTCAAAAGTCTTCATGTACTGCTTTTATCGGTGTTTGGATAGTGACAGTCCACTTTTCTTTCAAGATAGTTGTTGTTTTGTGTTGTTTTTTGGTTGCTTGTTGTTTTTTTTTTCCCTGTGGTGACTTAATTTCCCAAATCAGAAAATTGTTTTTTTGCTTTCAGATAACTTCTGCCAGGGGTTATAACAATGTTAATATTTTAATAGTTAGTATTTGTTCTAGTATTGGCTTTCCTTTGCTTCTATAATTTTTCCTTTCCCTTTTTTTTTTTTTTTTAATTTCAGCTGAGTTTTCAACATAAGATTGGTATCCTTTACTGCAAAGCAGGCCAAAGCACAGAGGAAGAAATGTATAACAATGAGATGGCAGGACCAGCTTTTGAAGAGTTCCTTGATCTGCTGGGCCAGAGAGTGCGCCTAAAAGGATTTAGTAAATACAGGGCTCAGCTAGATAATAAAAGTAAGTTATTTTTCCAACCTATGGTAGAAACTATAATTATCCAGTTGATCTTCCTCAAATCCTGTTTTGTCTTTTCATGCTCTTGACTTTGGGTTTTGATTAGTAAGAGTATATGGTAAATGAGGAAGATGAAGCATACGATAAGAGCATGTATCACACCTTGTCTGAAAAGTTATTTACTTTTTCTGTGACATCAGTAAAACTGAAAATCAAAGCAACTTATTTCATTTGTTTGCTCTTAGTTAAAATTAGTTAAAATATCACTACTATGTGAGTGATATTTTTTATATATTTCAGAATTTCCCAGCTACACTTTAACATCTTATCCTTAAAAAGGCAAAGGAAAATACATGTATTTCAAAATACAGAGTCATGACAAAGGACCATTTTCCTTGTTTTAATTAAACTTCTGTGCTTCTTTTTAATCAACATACATATTGATGTTTATATTTGAGGTGCAATCAAGTTTCCTAGTTTCTCACATGTGCACAGTAAGCATGTTATCATTTGGCAGTTGATAAATGTTCATCTACCACTGTGTTATTACTGCCATTTCCTCAGGTCTTTCAGTTTCCCTAAGTGCATTAGTGTAATAATTTAATTGTACAAATTTGTTGGGTTTTGTAGCAAAAATAGGAACAGAAGTATTGCTTCAGTTTTAATACTGAAGTATTAAAAAAGTCAATGACTTTTTTAAGTGTTAACACACTTCTTTATTAGCACTGCTTTTCACTGCCCTTAACTTTAACTTAACTCATTCTTAGTTTAATGTAGTTTTAACAGGATTTTGACAATTGATCACTATGAGCTGTGATCTAAGGATATCTAGGTAATCATCTACTTTATTGTAACATACTATTTTTATAGATATAAAAACTAGATAAAAGGAAGAAATGAGGGTAGTGAAACACTGGAAGAGGTTGCCCAGAGAGGTGGCAGAGGCCCCATCCCTGGAAACATTCCAGGTCAGGTTGGACGGGGCTCTGAGCAACCTGCTCTAGTTGAAGATGTCCCTGCCCACGGCAGAGGCGTTGGATTAGATGACCTTTAGAGGTCCCTTCCAACCCAAACCATTCTATGCTATGATTTGATTTGTATCCTTATTTTTGCTGTAGCTTGCCTATTACACCCTGAAAATAGATTTTTAAATTTTTTTTAATATACTGTATGTGGCCTGTGTATAACAGAAAAGGAATACTTTTGTTAGCAAAGTACATCTTTTTAAACTATTAAATCCTGCTACTTGTGTGCATATTCTACTTACTTTTCTAATCAAATGGGAAAGTTGCTTGAACTGTTAGAGATAAGCTGCCAAGAAGGAAGCTTAGAAAGATGTACTTAAAGGAAATTAAGGGAAGATCTTCTTTTCTTGCAAGGGATATTTTGCCTTTCAAATAGTCACAGAGATGTAGGAATCAGTAAGTCCTCCTATTCGCTTCTCTGTTCCTCCTGCCACTTACCCATCTGATCTAGCCTGGTTCTTAGGAATCTCTTGCGCGTTTTTGCTAATTCAACATCAGTCTTCATTTAACTGGAATACATCTGGATTTTGTTGGTTTGTTTTTTTTTAAATCATAGAATCATAGAATCATAGAATCATTAAGGTTGGAAGAGACCTCCAAGATCATCGAGTCCAACCGTCAACCCAACACCACCATGCCCACTAAACCATGTCCCTAAGCGCCACATCTACCCGTCTTTTAAATACCTCCAGGGATGGTGACTCAACCACT